AAAATTATCAAAAATTAAAAATTTTAAAAAATCTGAAATATGCTAAAAAATGAAAAAAATTCTGAAATAAAAAATTAAAAATTAAAATTAATAAAATTAAAAAATTTTATAAAATATATAAAAATTAAAATTGTAACATTCAAAAAATAAAAAATTTTCATAATTTAAAAAAATTTATTTTTATTATTTTTAATTTTTAATTTTTTTTGTATTTTTTGAATTTTAAGAAAATTTTATTTTTATTAAAATTTTCATTTTTTAAAATTTTCATAAAATTTTTGGATTTTTATAAATTTTTAAATTTTAAGATTTTTTGAAATTTTAAGTTTTCATATATTTTTAAAATTTTTTTAAATATTTCAGTTTTTTAAATTTTAAAAAAATATTTCATATTTTTAAAAAAATTTTAAAATTTTCTTTTAATATTTTTTTGGTATAGACTTGACTTTTTTAACATATTTCAGTATTTTATTGAATGTTTATATTACATCAACAAATTATCTTGCGACATTAATTTCAAGTATCAAAATAGTTGATGAAATGAAAGTTGAAATACTAAATTAAAAATTTTATTTTTTAGATATTAAATTGATAAAAAAATATAATATAAAAATTATTTTTATATTTAATCCAATAAAAAATAAAGAAAACCCCCCTCCTCTCCATCGAATTCCTACATTTTCCATAGCGATAAACCAAGCACCCTCAAGGCTCTAGCCGGGTTCTAGTTCTACAGGGTACATACTTTTATTTTTCTATCTTTTAATCTGCCTAGACCAAACGACAATAAAATGTATCAATAATCTGAATATTCAAAACGACCTAACTAATTATATTGGCGACCCAAAATTTTGGGTTTTTGGACCATTAGGCCTCTCTGCCTGAAATAACTAGGAAGGGGAGCTGAGTTGTCGGTCTTTATCTTTTAACAGTATTAATGTAGTCTTTAGAAACTCGTCAGCAGATTGGAATCATTGGGAGTCCTCATCCTCGATTTGAGCTGCTTTAGACACTTCTTCAAGCTTCTTGTCAGATTTTAAGTAAAGATTTAAATGATATATTAATATTTTAAAATTATTTAAGTTTAATTTAAATGAAATTTAAATTTAGATAAATTATTATTAAGTTTAATTTTAATTTGAATGTTCGATTTATTAATTGAATCGAATTTGAATATTTTTATATTTAATTCGAATAATTTAAGTTTAATCAAATTTTTATCTTTTAATATATTTTAATTAATAAAATATTTTAAATTTAAATTCGAATACAAATAATTAAAATTTTGTTTAATATAAAAAGTAAGCTTATTTTTTATGTTAATTGAGTCTAATTAAATAAATTTGAATAACTCAAAATCTATATTGATTCAAGTTTAAATTAAAAAAAAAAATCGATTGAGTTTAAATCAAAATTTTAATCTCTAATTTATAATTAAATCTAAACTCAAATTTAATATTATATCAATTCAAATTCAATTATTATACTAAAAAAAAACTCGCTTAGGTTGGTAGCCACCAAACGTTCACCAAAGTACCAATGAAATGTCAAATAATACGGCACTAGAGAGCTAGGGTGTGGGCATTTCAAAATGGTATATAGTGGCGGATTTTAACATTTTGGTTATGAGGGAGCAAATTAATATTATATTTTAATTTTTTAAAAATATTTTTTATTATATTTATTAATATAAATATAAATGTATAAAAATGTGTTAATAAAAAATTGAGTTTATAAAATTATAAAAAAATATTATTATACCAAAACGTTTAAGAATAAAATAACTTTTATATTAATAGTAGAATTACTAATTACACAATTTTTTAATAAATATGAAATCTTTTTTGATTCTTTTGACATTTTATGTCTAAAATTAAAAAAAAAAAATACACAAATCAATATTTTTTATAAGATTAAATAGATAGTTAAAAAATTTTTACAAACAAGAAAAATAAATATGCTTTTAAAAAATGAAGTTGAAAATTTTGTTATTAAAGATTAATTGTGTTTTTTTAACTTTTTAAAATAGTTTTAATATCATTTTTGTGTTGAAAATATTGTAGAACAACACGAGATCATAGAGATTTAGAGTAATTAAAAGTGACATACAATATGACCGGGAACAATTACAATTAATTAAAAAAAAAAGAGAATAATCGTATGATTTGTTGATAAAATATTAAATTTTTAATTAATAAAGTATTAAACTTTTAATTTAAGTGATTCCAATTTTTGATAAAATAAAAAACTACATTTAATACTTGGTTAGACTTTGTATTGTTGAAAAAATTAGAAAATTACAATCACATTATTGTGATTTAAAATTTATAATGAAACTCTTAATAATGATTAATAGATACATTAAAAAGACAAATAATACTATAGTTTTAACTTTCTTAAAATGTAAACCATAAAGTTAAATTATGAAATTATAGAAAAAATAACATTAACGGTGTGTGTTTAAAGAATCATTTAAATTTGTTTAACATAAATGTATATACATACTAAAGGATTTTAAAATATTTGGGCCCCCTTAAGCATATGCGAGGGTCGGCCCTTGATGGTAGGCCAACTATCGAAGATAAAATTGAAGAGGTCAATCCAACGTCAAGCCAAAGCTAGATAGCTCCTTCAACGTCGGCAAGCAACTGCTGTAGCTGTTTCAACCACGCAGGCACCGCAGCATGTCGCCATGTGGCAAAAGTCATTGACAATTTTGCTAAAGCATTGATTTTTGATCCAGTGGCGCCGATTTCGTATGGCTTGGTTGCTCTAAAATTAAAAAAGGGAAAGTTAGCAATCATTGTAATCAGCAACGTGATGTGTTATATTTGTAAAGTGACATGCACCTAATTTAAATGTTCACATGCATTATTTTTAGACGCACCAATAATAGTGTGCTGGCTGCACTTCTTTGGATAATAATTGGTTGACTGTGCAACACCTTTTTTCAAGTGCAGAGCAGTCGCCTCGTTTGCAAGAACATTAGGCCACTTTGATCTGTACCTATCTAAGCAAATCAATAATCGAATTGCTACTGGTTTATCGCGTATGCTTGACGGCAAGACAGTTGAGTCATGTCTCCTACTTTCCGTTGAGATTATGATGGCGTATCAACCTTATCAGGACCGCTGCTCTAGCCATTCTACCACCAAGGATTTGTTTGGAAGTGGCATAACGAAACAGTCCAAGTTATGCAACATTGGTTCAATGGACGCAGACAGTTTAAGGTTAATCGATTATTTTCATATATAGGAACAAAAGCAGGAAGTTAGTATAAGATATCTGCCCCTGCAGAGCTACAGGAAGACATAACTTCTACGAACAGAAAATCTTATTGGATTTCAAAGCAGATATATGGAATCAAAATCAGTAATGCTGAAGCAAATCCGACTGACATGCCAACTAGAGGAATATAAGGATATATGCAGATTATGCAAATGCTTATAGATTCCTTTTAGTTTAACTCAATCAATTCAAGGCATATTTCGAGATGCTAATGGATAAAGGGGTGCCACACCACAAATTAAGGTGACAGAGCAAACAGTTGAAATGCTGTCATTCCGTGAAGTGCAGAATTTCTTTCCTGAAATGATCATGCTTGGAAAAGCTCATCTCCAAATGCTGTTTAAAATGTAGTATGATGACTGCATATCACAGTCGGTCCAAAATTCTAACTGAGCAATGATGCCCTTTTGTTCGACTCAGAAAACCACAAACAAACAGATGTAATCTGATGGATTGCTGTAAAGCCACCGCTGCACTTATATAGCCTAATGGAAAATTACTAGTACTTAACGCTGTATAGCCTCCAATTAATATATATTCGCAAAACTCGAGCATAAGAAATGATTTTCCATTGGTCTACTTAATCCTGCTCTCATCAGGAGGACTTGATCTTCATCAATAATGAAGATAATAATCCAGTACTGCAGGCAATGCAAATTTTAATGCGTTCATGCTAGTTCGCAATTTACAAACTAAAATGTTCTTTTAGGAAGCAAATCTTGAGCACTGCAACTGTAACGTGAAGATTATAGCATGAGAACAACTTCATGCGGGATAGACATCGTAATGTTCATTCACTTTATAATTAGTACTAGTAATCATACAGTAAAGAATGTGGACATGGTACTTTGAAACTTTGGGAGAATAAAGAACAAAAACACTATGTTCGTTTCCAGTTTATATTCCTACATATTTTAGACATTTTATTGTGTTGAATTAATTAAGAATGACTAGTAATCTTTTTTTTTTTTAAAGAATGACTAGTAAGCTTTAAATATTTCTACTTGTAGATTTATTGAATATAGATTGTTCAAGCATGTTCAAATCTATCTTTAGAGACGAAACACAAAATTATGGATGCTATATATGATAGTAAAAACGACATACATGCAAAAGGAAAAGAGAAAATTATAGGTAAGGATCCTTTTTTATTCTCCCTTGGAGACATGGAATGATATCCATGACTGAACGTTGGACTGCTTTTTGTTAATTGTCACAAGAAATAGTTCTTTCATACGGTGGTTCTTAGGTTGTGATTTGGAATTTCCAACCACAACTACATTGAAAATCAAATTAAAATATTATATGACCCAAGAGGTATTGATTTAACTGTAACAAAACTTTTAATCAAGTACAGTGTGATGATCATTTGATTATTGCCTGTTGTCAGACCAAACAAAAATGATTGTTTTCTGTCCTAATAAGAACTATATAGCCCTACTTTAACATAAAGCAATTGCTTTTAAGTGTAGTCTCAAAGGTTTTCAATAATATCCTCCACATATATTAAAGGCCTGCTTTTTTTTTTTAACTAATAAACAAATTTGATTTTTCTTATATATAGATTTAATAGAATCAGTGTATTAATATGTCTTACTTTTAAGCTTTTGCGATCCACACTATATATGACAACAATGTTATCAAAAAGTAGATATATAGAAAATTATAGGTAAAGCCTGATGGCTCAAAAGATAGAGCAAGATGATGTATTACTTTATTATACATTGTTCTTTAGTTAAAGTATCTTATTAATAGAATTGATAATTAATAATAAATACCTGGCTCAAGCCCTCAACTTTATGTTCAACAATCTGAATGAATAAAATTCCGGGCAATGATCAAAAGCTTGTGGTATAGGGTTTCGATTTTGGTGTCTTTTATACTGTCTGTAGTCTTCATAGGCATCAGAACAATACCATCTTATCTTATATCAGTAAAGAGATCTCTAATAGTACTTGTCAAAGTTCATAACTGAGATTGAGTTCTACAGCCTGCTTATATATATATATATATATATATCCCTTACAAGGGTTCAAGCACAGTGTTACTGCTGAGTTGTTCTACGAGGAAAAAACTTGAAAAGATCTGAGATCAGAGACTGAAGCTTGGTTAATAATAAAGGTCGGCGGTGTCTCTTTGTACTTGGATACTCAGGTTAATGCTTAAAAATGAAGAATATGGAAAAAAAAAATAAAGAATTTAATGAATAGTACTTGAATGGAGAGAGATTGTAGATACCTGTGTCAGAATAGGTTCCGGATTAATTTAATCAGAATTTTGTCCAAGAGCATGGGGCTGACGAGTTCGACCCGACTTGACTTGACATGTGACAATTCAATCGCACAGTGACATATTTGCCTGTTCATGTGTCTTCGCGAGGGTAAATAATCAAGCCGAGCTGATGTGAACTCCAATAAGTTAGGTCAGCCCACTCAGCTAGGCTTTGAATATTGCCTTAACCAAATTGCTAAGTCAGACTAAAAAGAGCAAAATCTATTTGACTTTCGAACCCTAAAATACTCTAGCAGCCAGTTTGAATTCCATCAGAACATCGAATCTAAACTTTTTTTTTTTTCGGCCCTCAACTGCATCCAAGTGTATTTAGATAAATATCTCAGCAGTCTAGTTGGAGGCTCTGAATTACATTGTCCTGCCAATTTTTCACTTGAGAAAGAAAAGTTCAGTGAGTCACTGATGGTGGGCTATTAGTGTAAAATTGAAAAAAAAAATTATGGTAATCTATTATTTTTATAAGATAATTGATTGTTGATCTTAATTTCATTATCATCATTGTATTTATATTCAAATACATAACTTATCATTAATTTAATCACACCTCAACTTGTTTCACATGCTTTCATATTATTAGAATCAGCAATGAACCAAAAATTTTATTTAATTGGGTTTTATAGCTACATTAAAAGAAACTTTCAATGAAAATTACAACTCTCACTAAAAATTAATATAATCCTCACTAAAAAATGCGATATGACTCTTTCAGGCTCTCATTATAAACTCTCTTGCTAATTATATATTATGAGAGATAAAACTTAACCTTTACTGTATCAATCATTTAGCAAGGATTAAAACACTCACTAAGTATAAACAATTAATGAAAACAACTTTTGACCTTCACTAAATATAAAATCTAATTTTGACTCTCACTGTCTTTGACTTTTAGTAAAGATTTTCATTGATTCTCGCTTAAAATTTTTATTTTTTATGAAAATTTCCTTTAACCCTCACTGAAAATTACTTTTATTGAAGATTATGACCCTCTTTATGATATTTTACGTCATTTAATAAAAAGACTTGTCATCCTCGAAAAAATATTTATTTATTTTTATTTAATTTGTTAATAACTACATATATAATTTTAATATTTCTAATTCTTACTCTAAACAAAACATAAATATTTGAAAAATTATTGTATAAATCCAAATAAGCATTCGGATACACTAGTTCCGAACAATTTGTGCTATATCCATAGCATACAAAAGCACTTATATCAACTTGTCAGAATGATACAAAATGAAGAAAAGGATACACTGTCACTTTTTCTTTATGTCTACCTCCCTTCGACCAATTCTAGGAGTGTCAACAATTAGGACAATGGCCTTGTATCCACATTTCATGATAATTCCTCCAACATAAAACCAATTGAACAAAAATTAGAAGGAATAGTACAAAATACTAATATCCAGAGATAGGAATTGTATTATAAATGTATCACTTGATAAGGACAAAGTATTAAGTTAGAACTTTGGATACTTCTTCCAGTTTACCTGATGTAAATTAAAAATTAAAAATTAAAAGAACAATAGCATGTTGCTCTTATGATTTACATTATAGATTAAACAAATGATTTCTAACAATATGTACTTGCAAATATATTTAATTTAAGGTAGCATACCTTTCGTATGAAATACAAAGGAAGATCCAAGAAAATTGCATAATTCTCAATAATTGCAAAGTCATGCATCATGATCGGTTATGATATTGTTATTGGTACTGGGTTGTGTATGAAACCATCTTTTTAAATAACTCTGTACGTGATAAATCGTGGCATGTGCGAATAGCCAAAAGTAATCATCTCACCTGCATGCAGAAATCACTGGTAGAATTAAAGTCATGCAACCGTGCTAAAAATTAAAGTCACTGGTAGAATTCGATAGAGGGAAAAAATGCACACTTCAAATAGACTTTAGATTTTTACTTGGTGAATACATCTTCAAATAGTTAAAAATTAAAGACACTTTACTAGTTACTTCAAGCTTACATCTTCAGTTATGCTCATGTCTACCATAGCATTAGTAAGACCAAACAGAGTAACTATTAGTTAACCTTAAAAAACTTGAACTGTAAAATGGAAATGGATAATAGAACAAAATTTAAAACAAAAAAAAGAAATTAAAAGAATCTAGGAAAGAGAAAATGTGTTGTACTCAACTTGCAATTTTTGCAGCAGTCTCAACAATAATTTCATTATGGGTTGTACTAAACTTGGTTCAATGGCAGATAGAAGGAAAAATTATTTTAAACATTTCCAATATTAGCAAAAAGGTGTGTTTAAGTGATCACAAATAGAATTTACATGTTATCTTCTGTAACACCATTACTTTTCCTTACTGTTGCCAAGACTGCAAGTTATAAGGCACATTTCAAAGTCCATAAGAAAAGTCAATGCAAGTGTAACAATTGTCCTACTCAAGAACAAAAAAAAAAAAAAAATCAAAATGCATTTAAATGCATTTTCTTCAGCACATTCGTTTTTCTTGTAGTGATTAGCACATCCATGGAAGAAATTAAACAAACAAATTAACATAAAATTGAACTAGAATTTGAGACTTGAATTGAGAGCTAAAAACTTCAAGACCTCTTTTTTGCCATCGTGAATGGCTTCGCATGAATGAATACTATTTGAACTTAATTTTCAAACTCTTGTAATTTTAACTTTGCCCGCTAAATTGGCAAGCCAACCTATAAAGTTAGAGTTTTTAATCATTCCATTTAATTTAAACAACCTAATTTTCAAACTGTTGTATTTTTAAATTCATTTTTCAATATCATTTATGATCTTTTGCCTAGTTATTGTTAGATCATGCCCTTTTTTACCTAAAACGGCCATAAATTTTTGCTACAATTATGTAACATATGGGTAGAGGTCAGTGAGGATTCATGTGTTATGATAGTGAACATGTTTTTTTTTTTTTTTTTTTTGGGGGGGGGGGGGTTAATAATGGTGTTATATTATACAACCATAAGTGTTATCCATCTTTTAAATGGACATACTTCCATCTAACCACGGCATTTATTGCTAAACCTAGCTAGAGCATTTAATATAATTAAATGAAATCTTTAACAAGAAATCTCAAGTCTTATCTCGTCATTAAAAGAAATCACTTCATTTATTGTCAATAGAGTTTTCAGATTACACAACTAAAGTTAATAAGGTGACATTTTATCCTTTAACATTTATTTCATAAAAAAAATTAATTAAAAAAATAAACATGTATCAATCTCTTAATTCCATTTGTGAAATTAAAAAATTATTATATCAAATATTAAGTCAAAATATAAACTACCACTATTATAAAATAAACTCATAAAAGCTACACAAAAGTTAAACATCAATTTTTTGTCTATATAGACCCAAGTATCAAAAGAGAGAGTACCTACCATTACCCACATTTGCATTAATTGAAAAGCCAAGATTCTCGTGGAGCAGTTGTTTACTAGGATATTGCTTAGCACTTTACAGCTTGTAAGCTTTAGCTTGCTGGCATGCCTCTTTAATTCTCTGATATTGAAGCCACAAAGGATTCTAACCAAAAAAAAAGAGTAAATGTCTAACCAGAAAAGTTACACTCAGCTAACATGAATGCAAATCCTAGAAGACACATACCATGTATGAAATCTACAGCTTGGCATATATCAACAAATGATAGCGCAAAAAGATAGTCCCTTCTAGGAATCACCAATGATTGATGTTGTGAGCCGACCAGGGAAAAAGAACAAAAACAATGAATATTTCAACTTTAAGGCATGGCTAAGACAGAAAAAATACTATGTTTCTGATAGAAGGTCACATGCAGCATTTCTAAAATTCTGCTGTTCATATCATAGCTACAATATGCGCCCTACAATATGCACCTGACCTACCTTTGTTGCAAGATCACTAAGAGAAAACTAAGTTCCTTTTCAAATCCATAAATTAATTATAAGACCCAATTGGTTAGGGAGTATTTCTGAATTATAAAACCTAAAGCAATTGGTTTATATATAAGACCCAATTGGCTACAAGATCACTAAGAGAAAACTAAGTTCCTCTTCAAATCCATGAATTAATTATAAAAACTAAAGCAAATCCTATTTATAGCATTAGAGCATAGCAAAATATAAGTTTCAAATTACTCAAATCAGTTAACTTTTTAACTTAATTCTGTATTTAAGAGGAATTGAATATCAATTGAGCTTTAATACATTATGATTTTGGCTTTCAATCAACGACGAACATTTCAAGTTTCGAAATTTTCACGATATCGAAAGCAACATTGAATTGAGATAAGATCTGAAAGGACATGATTAGACCTTCTTGAACTTGTCAAGGATGCCGACAACAGAATTGCGGAGAGAAATGGCGTCGTCGTGAAGTTGGAGGACGTCACGATGGCGCGAGGAACATGGAGGAGGGCGGCAACGCTTTGCTCCTCTAGCGAAGTGGCGATCTCTTCGGAGACCATTTGGAGCTTCATTTCGAGATCCACCATGTGCTTGTCGAGGGAATCCTGAGGGTGCCGAGTCTTGCACGCCGAGTTTATCCATTTCTTCAAATCGAATTTCTTCATAGAATAACTTGCCTTTTCAGTGAATTATTCTGATTAAAGAAAAATCAAGGAGCAGCTCAACGGCGATTGAGGTCTAAAACAAAAAGGAATGGAATTGGAGGGTACTGTTTGATGCTCAGTGATGACTAGGCTTATTGAGAAGAGAGAGGGACCGTGGCGTTAGTGGTGACAGCTTCGGTGTTGGTGACAAAGGCGACGACGGTGACAATGCTAAATTGGGGCCAAAAATGAAATCCTAATTCTTATTGGTCGATTGAAACAATTTTTATTCTTTCCCTAGAGAAAATATTGATAATTTTTCTTTGCCTTACTTTCAAATAAAAAAGATTGTTATGATCACTTTTTTTTATTTACGGTAAAAAGATGCGGCGAGGGTCACCTTTGACTTTTCTTTCTCCCTAAAATTACGCATGAGGACTATCTTTTTTTTTTTTTCCTTTGAATATTAACTTTCATTAAAATCATAAATTATGATAATAATTTTTTATTTACTGCTTTTTAAGAATTTTTGTACTAAATATTTTTTAATACTTTTTTATAGAAAAAATATTTTTTTATAAGCTTACAATGATTTTCACAAAATTTACAAAATTTTTATTTAAATTTTTTTAATTTTAAAAAAATATAAATTAATAAATTTTATTTATTGAGATTTAAAATGATCATCACTAAATCTATTTATATTCATTTTTAATTCTCATTTCAATTACATATATGAAATTTTACATTTGTAAAACAATTTGTGAGGATTAACTTTAGATCTTCACAAAAAAATATTAAATTAATAAAAATTATTTTTGATTCTTACAATAAAATGACTTTTAATAAAGTAAAAATGTATTACTTAATAAAATTATTCTTAACGAAGGTTATGGATAATCCTCACCACCAAAAAGAGTTTTTAGTGAGGATTAAAACTTGACCTACATTAAATTTTTAAAACACACTTTTCTTGTAGTGTTAATTGAAATATATTAAATTATAAATAATAATAATCATGATGATAATAGTAATATAAAACTAAAACTTGGTTTATTTTTTAAAAAGTTGCACAATAATTTTGTTATCAATCCTTTTGAATATGTATTTTTTAAATGTATACAATTAAATTATTATTTAATCATTGATTTTTTTTAATTATTTAAACGAGTCCTCAAAATGTTAAAGGATTCTTCAATGAAAGAATATCAGAATGAGGAAATGGAATGATCCAATTTTATTATTATCCAAAAATTTAAATATCCAAATTGAGGGTTCAATTTGTTTGTAATGTTTAATATTTATTTGATCTTTTGAATTGTTAAATTTTTTTTCTCGAATAAATCATAAATTTTGTTAACAGTATTAATGATGAAAATGATCTCTCTAATTTATTAATTATAACGGGTAAAATCAATATTAATCTTAATAATAAATAAATTAGATCATTAAAATTTTTTTAGCTTTATCTATGACTAAAACAAATGAATTCGTTTTTTTTTTTTTTTTGGACTCTTAAAGGATTGAAGCTCCCATGGACACTCTAGGTTCGACCTTATTGCAATATCAATGTTGTAGTGTATATCCGCAGCTCCATCGCCAGTGTTGTTATGATGACTAAGTCCTCCATTTCTCTTTTTTTTTTTATGATAGTCTTTCATTTTGGTATCATTTTTTTTCCTTTGAAGGAAGTATCTTTAATTTTTTTTTTACAGAAAGAATTAAAATTATGCAATTATTATAGCATAATTAATTATAATTTAAGAATATATTAAAAAATTATATAAAACTCATATTTTAAATGATAAAATGTTTATATAATTTTTTATTATAATTAATTAATTACAAAGTTATAATAAAAAATTATAAATAATGTATTTTTACTCAAATCAATCTCATTATTCAGTGAGACGAGAGGTTTTAAACACAACTCTTTAAATTGAAATACGGAGTTAAATTATCAACCTTACTATCATCAGGAAATCAAATTTACTTTGTACAAAATACCCATGGCCACTATGCACTTAAGTTTTTAATCTAACGATGAAGGGCATGTCTTTTTTTTAAAAGAATTAAAATCGAAATCTTCTCTACCACAAAAATCTTATGTTAAATATATATATAAAAAAAAAACCTACGGTCACTACAAATAATTGTGTGGCCTTTTTCGTGTTAAATATAAAATTATAATAAATTTGATGATTAGTATATTTTTATTATATAAAATATTAAAATTTATATATTTATATTATATTTTATATAAAAATTATGTGTTATAATTTGTTTTAATATAAAATATAAAAATTTTATTTTATTAAATTTATATATAATTATTATTATAATTTTAAATTATATTTTATTAATTTTTATTTTTATATTATATTTATATTTTATTATTATATTATATTTTAAATTATCTGATTTAAACTGCAGCAAATGAAAAAAAGGAAAAACAAGCCATGAATTCGTGTTTAGAAACAAAACCTAAGTGGAGTTCTTCCACAAGAGTTTTTTTTTTTTGGTTACATAAGAAGACTAAAATCTTAATACAAATAAAAAAATTTAATTTAAAATTAAGTTTTAATATTTTTTCAAATATCTTTAATAACTAAATTAAAAGCTCTAGGAATTCTTCCACAAAAGTTGTACTTAGGGTTGTGGATATACATGTGTTAACCCTTATACAACAGTGATAGTGGTAGACTGGATAAGAAAAGTCAGTAAGTTTAACAAGTAGGACGCAATACAGAAATTAACTGCAACTGCCAGCACAGTAAATTTGTAAAAGTTGTCTCAATGAGAAATGGTGGTTCCACCACCCAAATAGCTAAAAGGGTAGACTAGAGTAGAGCGCATTGCAATTGTGTTGGAGAAAAATTTAAAAAAAAAAAAGAAATGAAAGGCAAATAAATAAAGATTTAGTCCCCAACGCTAATTTCAATAAACCTCGTATCCTTCCCATGAGAGAGATTTTCCCATAAACCAAAGGCCCTGACCCCAAAGCCGAAAACAAAGCCAAAGCCAAAGCCAAAGCCAAAGCCAAGGCCTCTCTCTCTCATGTCATGTCATGCAAGTAGCACCAAGCTTTTAACCCCTCTCACTACCCTTCACCCTGCGACATTTGTTTCTCTTCGCCAGCTCATTCATCCCCAAAAACACACAACTCCAACCCCAACCCCCCTCTCTCTTTTTCTCTCAACGTATTCTCCACCAGATCTCCGGGAGTAACCCCATAAAGATGCGTGATCTTTCGTTTAGACCTCTTATAAAATAAAAATCTCCTCAGACAACAACCAGCTCTCTTCAACATTACCCTTATGCTCCTTTTTTCTTGTTGATTCGATTTTTCTCTTGGGTTTTCGGGGTTCTTTGTTTTTTTTTTTTTTGAGGAAACCTAATAAGGGAGTGAGCGTGCGTGTGTGTGAACCACTGGGGGGGTTTGTTAGTGAGAGAAAATGGAGAATGGGGTAGACAGAGAAAGTGGGTCGATGATTTTTAGCGAAGAGGAGTTGAGTGAGGTAAGTGGATTGAAGAAAGGAGGAGATTTTATAGAAGTGACATGTGGGTGTACCAGCCATAGATATGGTGATGCTGTTGGCAAGCTTAGGGTTTTCTCTAATGGTGACCTTGAAATCACCTGTGAATGCACCCCTGGTTGCAATGAAGGTCTCTCTCTCTCTAGCGCTTTTTCCATCCGTTGTTTCTTTCGTTCTCCATCCTTTTCTTTTCCTTTGATGCTGTTGGGAAAATGGTTTTTGATTTTTGTGCTTGTTTAATGCGTACTTTATTCAATTTATGGTGCATTTGACGTTGATGGGTGTCGCTTTCTCTTGTGTAATCGAGTTTTTGATAGAGTGACAAGTGGATGATGGGAAGCTTGAGTCGTTTCGTTATGGTTTCTTTTTCACACAGTTTATGTGTATGTTGTTTTGTCTCAGTGACTTTGCTTTCATTGGTTGTAACACTGCTAGGTGATATTCATACATATTTTGGGACATTCCATGAGTGTCTTTGTTGGTTAAAAATCTTATCTCCGAGTTTGCATCTTCAGAATAACACCTTCATTGTCTTTTATTGTTGTGATTCTAAGGTCTTCGATTCAACCTTTTCAGAATCTAGTTTTCCAAAGCTTCAGTTCTGTTTCTTGTCGCTAGACAGAGTAAAAATTTTTCAAGAAACATTTTTAGCCATATGGATTCTTCATATGTTGTAGTTCTTTCTGTTATGATGGCATGTCATTGTAAAGTATGGGTGGTGAGGGATGCTTTTGAGCATGTTCGTGCTTGGTATTATAAGGATAGCAATGTTTCCAGGGGGATGAACATCTTCTTTTATGCGTTCTTTTTGTTTGCATGTCTTTTTCTTTACATAATGCTACCTTGTGAAAGTAGTGCGAATATGGCTTGGAGGTTCAAACAGTATTTCTTCTAGCTGGTATTCTATTATTTTAAGACTTTATCATTGAAACACTGTTATTGAGGAAACCAAGTTTGCAAAATGAAAGCTTTAAACATTTGTCAACTATTACAGTTTGATCAATGGTTAATGTTACAAATATTTCTCATCAAAAGGATGTTTGGTTTAGGAGTAGATTGCATACCTATATATTATCTGCACGTGAAGGAATCATAGGCCTGTAAGGAGGCTGTGTTTTTCATACGAAAGAAAGCATATCCATGTCAAATGAAAAAAAAAATGGTCATACACTTCGAACCTTGAAGGTAAACCTTCATCTCGTGGCTCCACCCCCACTTTGAGACAAAAGTGAGGTCAATATTTTCTTTATACAGTTGGTCATTTTGGGGCTTGTGAAAAGAACACCGTGAGTTGGGTGGCAGGACTATATAGTCAGCGTCCTTAAACTAAATATAACTAAAACTGGCTTAAGCTGTCTGTACTGTTATCTCGGCCTTTATTGTTTAATAGAGCCTTCCAATATCAAGTGCATATGATATCATTTTTTCTCCTTGTTCTGATCGTCCTAGTTCCTTTTTACTTTCCTAACAAAATGTTGAAGCTTTGTATTTTTATTCCCTTTTTCTTTCTAATTGTGTGAATGTTAACTTCAATTGCTAGATAAGTTGACTCCTGCTGCGTTTGAGAAGCATTCTGGAAGAGAGACAGCTAGAAAGTGGAAAAATAATGTTTGGGTGATAGTTAACGGGGAGAAGGTTTCATTATCAAAGACTTCATTGCTGAAATACTACAACCAAGCATCTAAAAATGCCAATGGTACTCACAGATCCCATAATGGAAGAGTTTGTCATCGTGATGAGTTTGTTTGCTGTAGCAGGTGTAACAAGGAGAGAAGATTTCGATTGCGAACAAAAGAGGAATGTCGGATTTACCATGATGCTTTAGCAGATGTGAACTGGAAATGTTCTGATCTTCCATATGACAGGTTTGTCTCCCCATTATTGATTATGCTCTTATTTGATAAATTGTGTTTGTCATGTTCAAGCCTGTTTTCTCGTATGCATAAAGGTATTAGTCATTCTAGAAATGCTTCTGGACTTAATTCTTTTTTTACCCTAAAAAAATCCAACTGCTAAAAATTAAAATGTAATTTATAGATAACGCATGTGATAGCAAGAAACTTCTTGATCTCCAATTTTATATATATTGAAAGTATGACTTTTCTAAATCCAAAAGATTCTTCCATGATCTGTTTCTTATTACTTCTCTATCATGAAACCAGTTCATGTGCTGTAGCTCCAACTATGATTACAGGAAACCAATGATCAATCCATTCTTTCCATGTTAACTCCTTTTGAACTTTGCTTTGCTGAGCCTATTTCTTGTGTATCTGTATCATTTTGCCCCTTTCATATGGAGTTGTTTCTTCTGCTTAATATGCATTTAGTTGAATTAAATGGTTAGCATCTTTTACAGCTTATAAGCACCTATATGTTCACAGCTTCTGAAAAGTATCAATATTCTTTGCTGATGTAATAAGCACCAATACCGTGCATGATTTTCACTTAAAAATCTGATGACTCGATGTTAGGGAACATAACAAGTAATTTTGGGTGAAGAACCTAGTACTGAACACGAAGAATAATTTTGGTCAAACTGCAGTTCCTGATTATTCACCTTTTAGGCAATTTGACAACTATGCTACATTTAATCCCCGGGCTTTGTGTAAAGCTGGATACCATAATGAGAAGTATAAAATCTTACTGTTTCATCTATCGGAACGCGAAATGACATTCCTATATGCTCATATTGGAACCGTCAGTTAAGGAGGTTACAAGAAATGAATTGGGCTTCATTGAGTGTCCTTCAGATCAGAGGAAATTTGCAGTCAAACACTCTATTTGGGGCATTACTGCATCATGTGAAATGGTGACAGGTTATTTTTCAAAGTTTATGAAACTGGGGCTGTGAGTTATATAGGTCTTTCTCAAGGAAGGGTTCTAGATGTCCTATTTGACATATTCAAAAATTCCATTCCTTTCTTGATATGCCAGATTTGTTTCGTTGGTAGTATCATGAAAAAACTGCCAGGTATTTTTTACTTGTGTATCTTGCTTAAATTTTTGGATCCAAAAGATGTTTTACTTGCCTGTGCAACTAGAAGCAGTAGGTCTATAAGTACCAGATATGTTTTCCTTGCATGCTGTTAAGTCCTACCATTCTAGCTTTCATGTTTGTTTGATTGTCGCCCGTGGTGTTTTGCTCAACTTATGCATTAACTTTCACACCTTAACTTTTTTTGCTGAAAATGCTTTTAGTTGGCAAGTTCATAAAAATTATATAATCTACCAGAACATGCAGTTTTGCTATCAATTGGCTGACCAAGCTGAAATTTTCTGGCTCTGTTTTGAGTTGTGTTCTTGAATACCACCAACTTTTCTTTTTTGAATTGAGTGGGAGAGGGGGCAAAGAGTTCTGACAAAGTAGACAGTTTTCCAATTTTATTCCATGATGCTCTGATTTGTTATTAGTAATGATATGAAAGCAAATGCTGAGAGAGGACTTTCTTCATTGTTAGGATTTTATATGAACATTTTAAGGGTTTTGGACAGAAATTTTAAGCCCAATTGACTCTTTCAGGTGGTTATAAGTGATGCTATGCTGAATTTGCTTGCTTGCAAATGTAGAATACTCTCATCATTTGCAATATGTTATGGCAAGTGGGCAACATACTCTTTAGTTTATAATTAACTTATTTTCTACATTTCAGAATAACATGTGATGACGATGAAGAGCGAGCAAGTAGGAGGGTGTACAGGGGCTGCATCCTTTCTCCAACATGCAAGGGTTGTACTTCCTGTGTGTGCTTTGGGTGTGAAATCTGTCGGTTCACTGATTGCAGCTGCCAAACATGCATTGACTTCACTAGGAATGCCAAATCTTGAGTCTTCAGTGCAGTAGTTTTGGGTGGGTTCTTTATTTGTTGCTTTAGTTGAGCCCATACCCACAGAAGAAGCCTTCAAAGACATTGTCTTTCATGTTAGACTTTTAAATTGCCAGTCCCTGAGTTCAGCACTCATGGAGCTCATCGACTGTTTTAAAAACTTAAAATTAATTAAATTTGATCTCCACATTGATGTTTGGTCCATATTCCAATTCTTCTGCTCAGCTATTTTGTTTCGTTACAGCACTATTAAAAGTTTATTACATTTATTTAAATTTGTTTGTTCATTGATTTTATTGACAGATTCCATATTTCTGTCTCAAAACTGTAAGCCGACTTTTATCTGTTGGATTTCCCTCTGTAAAAAAGAAATGAAAAGAAAACCCTGCAGCTGCAGCAACTAGTTGTTGAAAAGACAGACATGGTCAGTGGGCCTCCTATGAATTTAGTGTCTGCCTTGAATGTTTCTTTAATTAATTAAATTAATTTTTTTTAAGGGTTCTCTTTTTTTCTATTTATTTTTCGGTACATTCCGTCTTATTTTTGAACTCGACAGATCCTGATTAATCATTGGAAACATGCAACGCTCGTTACCTATTTATATCTGCTGTATTGCCTCAACTTAAATTGCAGTCATTCAGCATAAAATTACACACCAAAAAGAGTTTACATAAATCAAGCAAATCTAACGGGCTGATGTCTACACTCAATCTTATCATCAAAAGACAATTCATTAGGATTTCGGATGACTTTGTCACCGCTAAAACGATCACGGCCGATATGATACCGTTCTCTTCCCCGACTTGATGATGAAGCACCTACGTTAAAATTATGGGTTGGTTCAAACTTGCCTTGAACATAATCACGGTTGCAAATTACGGTACCTTTCTGCCGCAAGTCCATTTGCCAAGATATCTTGTAATGCACCAAAGTACTGCTGGCCCTGCATGGCCGTCCCAAATGTGTTTCGACTAAAATATGGGTGTAAATGATATATCAATACTCGTAAGATATTCAGATTCGATTCGAATAAATTCGAATTCGATTCGATTATTATCACGTCGAGCTCAAGTTCGAGTAGTTCGACTTATCGATCGAGTCGAGTTTGAGTATTCTTATACCCGATTCGAGTAGCTCGTGAACCTAATCAAGCTTTTATATTTAAAATTTTTTATTATTTTAATTAATAAAATATCTCGAATTCGAGTTTCAACACAAATAATCGAACTCTTGTCGAATATAATCGAGCTTATTTTAACATATTAATTGAGCTTAATCGAGCGAGTTCGAGTAGTTCGATTTCGATCACGAATCAAGCTCGAGCTAAGAAAATGAAACTCGATTGAATTCGAGCCGAGTATCGAGTCTCGAGTTAGGAGCCGAGCTCGAGCTTCTCACTTTATTGGCTCGACTCGGCTCGATTACACCCCTAAGCTAAAGGTCGAAATGGCATTCAATCCCTAGCCAAAGAGCACAGGCTGGTTGTCACGGGCCGTGTATTCCTTATATCAAAATCACGTGTCCGTGTGGCATCATAACTATTCATAGTCGAGGTTAACCTTTCACGAATTCATTTTCTCATGGATAGCTCAATGTTGATTCTTCAAGCTGTATACTCATGAGCCTTTCTTGGCTTTGACCCCGTAGGGTTGCACTTGATGGGAAGGAACCCAACTCTCATCAACTCATCAGTCCATGATTTTAGGGTGGCCCCAAGCACCCATCTCTACTAACAAGCATTAAGGTCCCGAGCACCAATCCTCAAATTCTTATAGGGACTTGTAGTCTCGATTCTCATAAAATTATTACTTTCTAGCATGCTGAGAATCCAACACCATGCCCACCCGCATCATATGCAAGCTCTTGTGCTAAGATCTTATGAGCACAACACAGATGCTGGTCAACAGCCAGCTCGGAGCCTCTAGGCTTATCTCGTCCTACGAAACTCATTTTTTAGGGCCTCAACCTTTAGCCTCATTTTAGGTTACCCGCATACATGATGGACACTCAACATATGTCACCACAAACAGAGACTAAAGTAAGTGTTGGATTCAAAACTGGTGTTAAAGAGTATAAATTAACTTATTATACTCCTGAATATGAAGTCAAAGATATTGATATCTTGGTAGCCTTTCGAGTAACTCCTTAACTCGAAGTTTTGCCCAAAAAAATAGGGGCAGTAGTAGCTGTTGAATCTTTTACTGGTACATAGACAACCGTATGGACCAATGGGCTTACCAACCTTGATCGTTACAAAAGGCGATGCTACCACATTGAGCCCATTACTACCCGTCTCGCTTCAGGGACTCGGGTGTGCTACCTCAGTTACAACACCATTTTATTGTTGGCCGTAAGGGTCTAGTAGCATGCCTTCCTACTAGCTTGCTCATCCCTCAAGCTCAATAGTGCTCCTCTTACACAAACACCATCTTATGATCCTTCTAGCTCAAAAAAGAGAAATCGAGAGACATAATGAACACTATTAACTAACTCTATGGTTTAATGCAAAAGTGCGATACGAGGCCTATTGGCCCTAACCATTACTGGGCTTACCATGACCCGGTGAGACATTATATCACACTTGTGACCTTATGATACCTGCCTACCTAAATATCACATGTGCCTAGTAATAGCTCACTTCAAACTAGCAAGACCACTGTCTATCCACTAACTAAAAGGTGGTAGAGAACTGACACCAGTCGTCCCCTCTAAAGAGCATAAAAGATTTTTCAGGCCTTTTATAAAGAATTGTAAGATTGTCTAAAATGAGAATACTTTTCTCTCCAACTATCTCAAGGCCTTTCTTCACCCAACTCAGGGCCCAGTTACTTTCTTCTTGGTCACCATAATTCTAGCACTCTATTCGTTGCTCTATCAACCTAGTTGAGGTACCTGCACATGACTTCAATCGATAGCACCCAACTGGCTAATCGACTCTAGGGTGCTCGCTTATTATCTTACACTTACTCATGTATCTTGGGGCTTAGGGCTTACATTAATAGCACATAATATTAGCAACATGTTTTTGTGCTTAAAATGCCTGCACATAGCTCTAGGATCTTTGCCCCGACAACAAGGCCTTGTCCACTACTCAACTTAGGGTCAATTATGGTAAGATCGAGGTACACCAAGACTTGACCATGACACTCTTCCCCACTTACTATGTCGATGCCCTTATCGATGCCAAGACCACATCCAACTCTTTTGTTGCACACAGTTGACATTTTCTCATATGTCTCTCATTTGTGCCCTCAAGGATTGGGTTGAGATCCTGTCACATGAGGCATCACCTACAGTACTCGTTCATTACTGATGTAAATGGGTCTTATCTTAGGTCTAAAGCCCTTTTGCATTGATTCCACTTTTGGTCTATACTCAATCCATTTCTCATTGGTACCACTGCATTACCTCACCCATGATCACCTCATGTTATGACCTCGAAACACCCTTGTCGAATATAACCCTCAGTAAAATGAATGATCACTTGTTTTGCCACATATTGGTGCCTCACTGACATGATCCATTACACTAACCAAGCACTTGCATCACCGACTCTTTGATACACATATATGGATGTAGTGCTTATGTCAACTGCACTCATATGACACTAACCACAATAGACCCTAGCATGATGGCATTCAAGCACTTCGGTAACCTTACAACTTATGTCCTTTTGGCCCCTCTAAGGTCACCTCTCTAGGTGTGGTCCTTTGGCCAACCATTCTCGTGGTGGCACCTTAACGTGCACTACTTGATCAATATCTTAGACTCAAACATAGTGCTTAATAAACTTAGGCTTTATTACTTTGGCTCAATTTCATTAGGAAATCATAAGTCTCCCCTACTTTTACTCGAACTCAACTCAGTTCTGCACTCAACCATATTTTTATGATGATTTTATAACCCGTCTGCCTTGACTCTAACATAGCTTATAGGGTAATTCAAAGCCCACTCGATGCTTTAGAAGTCGTTGATCCAATCAATCACATTGTCTACTGACTTGTTCCACTCGAGGGTTCACCAACCCACTCAATTCTTAAGGTCTACTAACATACTTAAACTCAAAGCCATCCCATAAGCTGATATTTACTCAAACTATCCTATATATGGCTCAATGATCATCGACTTATCCTTTGCCTTGCTCAAATTTGTCTAATCTACTGATCGGATGCAAATTTAAATGCTAATATCATCAGTTAACTTAACTCGATCGATCTTTTGACCAGCACAACCTATAAGGCCTTATCAATTGGCTAATTCCCACTTGCTTATTCCATTAAACTATACATTGTTGTGGCTCACTGACCATCACCACTCATAACACTTTCTTTTTCAGCCAACATAAAGCACGGTTCACTGACTGACATACTTTCATGATCCACTGACCGCAAGAACTCATCGTCCATTGACCATCACAACTCATGGCAACAATCCTTAGTAATTTAAATTTCTCTACCTTTATAGAATGGCTACATGCTTGGACTTAAATACTCGACTCATACCCTCGCTAAGGCACCTACACCACATAACAAGTGCACACATGTTAGTAATTAATCTCAACAAGCTCACCTCAAGTCCCTTGGGATAGAATTCATTCGACCCATAATGCCTCACACAACACCTTTTCAAGATGTATGCCCTTTCGCATTTTGATCTCAGTATAATTTTTCTTATCTAAAAGGCATCACATGCCTGTCTAGGCCAACACTTTTTGCTAGGTGAGGCTAGACTCGTGCCCTTTTCACTTGGGGTCTAAGAACCTACTTGAGGGCCTTTCACCTAGGCTAATTTTTCTTACAACATGCATCATTG